AATAAGCCAGGCAATGAAAGAAAAATACCACAGGAGCCGAAACCGGTATGGCTCAGTGGATAGAGTGTGGGCCTGCGGACTGAAGGGTCCCAGGTTCGATTCCTGTGGGGGGGGTGTGCAGGAGGCAGCTGATCAATGTTTCTCTCATTGATGTTTCCAACTCTCTATCCCTCTCCCTTCCTCTCTGTAAAAAAAAAAAAAAAATCAATAAAATAGCCGAGACCAGTTTGGCTCAATGGATGGAGCGTCAGCTTGGGGACTGAGGGGTCCCGGGTTCGATTCTGGTCAGGGGCATGTACCTTGGTTGCGGGCATATCCCCAGTGGGGGGTGTGCAAGAGGCAGCTGATCGATGACTCTCTCATCGATGTTTCTGACTCTCTATCTCTCTCCCTTCCTCTCTGTACAAAATCAATAAAATATATTTTTAAAAAATCAATAAAATATATTTTAATGAAATAAAATGTTTTTATTGATTTTGGAGATAGAGGAAGGGATAGAGGGAGAGATAGAGTGAGAGAGAATCATGGATGTGGGAAGGAAACGTCAATCCATTGCCTCCCAAATGCGTCCCGACCAGGAATCAAACCTGCAACCTGAGCCATTTACCTTGACCGGGAATCGAACATGCTACCCTTTGGTGCTTAGGACGGTGCTCCAACCAACAGAGCCACAGTGGCCAGGGCTTAGTTTCCATCTTGTAATTGTGTGGCAGAGACGCTGGGTGCCCCTGAGTAGCCAATGACCTCTGACAGGAAGGTACAGCTCACGCCTGCATCTCCCTGGCTCCCTCACAACCAGCTACTCGCCATGTGACTGACTAGCTTCTGGCCTTAAAAGCAAGGAGCGTGGCCTCCCTCTTACCCTCTCCCTGCCTCCGGCCGCAGTGGGATGGGGAGTTGGCATTGGCGTGACCCTCTTGCCCTGTGCGATGGAAGCCTGCGCTGCGGATGGTGGAGCCAAAAGCTCGGAGGACAGAAGAAAGCCATCCCCGTGGAGGTGGCCCTGCCCCAGGAGCTGCTGAAGTGGCAACTGGAGACTCAGGAGAGCTGTTTAGTTCAAGTCCAAGTCCGAAGGCCTGAATACCATATCAGGAGAGCTGGCAGTATAGTTCTTTATCTTTCCTCCCTTCCTTCCTTCCTTCCTTCCTTCCTTCCTTCCTTCCTTCCTTCCTTCACTACTACTACTTCTTCTTCTTCTTCTTCTTCTTCTTCTTCTTCTTCTTCTTCTTCTTCTTCTTCTTCTTCTCCTTCTTCCTTCTCCTTCTCTCTCCTTCTCCTTCTCCTCTCCTCTCTCTCTCTCTCTCTCTCTCTCTCTCTCTCTCTCTCTCTCTCTCTTCTTTTTAATTGATGTCAGAGAAGAAAGGAGAGAGAGAGATAGAAACATCAACGATGAGCCCTAACCAGTTTGACTCAGTGGATAGAGCATCGGCGTGCAGACTGAAAGGTCCCAGGTTCAGTTCCAATCGAGGGCATGTGCCTTGGTTGCAGGCACATCCCCGGGGCCGGGGGAGGGGCGGGTAGGAGGCAGCTAATTGATGCTTCTCTCTCATCGATGTTTCTAACTCTCTGTTCCTCTCCCTTCCTCTCTGTAAAAATTAATAAAAATTAAAAAAAGAAACATCAACGATGAGAGAGAATCACTGATGGGCTGCCTCATGCATACCACACCTTGGAGATGGCACCCACAGCCCAGGCATATGTGCCCTGACCGTGCCCTCTTGGTTCCTGGGCCGATGTTCAACCACTGAGCTACGTCGGCTGGGCAAGGTGGCGTAGTTCTTGTCTGAAGGCTGGCAGCCGAAGCCCGGGAAGAACCGGTGTTTCCGCTGGAATCCGAAGGGAGACAGCGGAGGCCCTGGTGCTGAGGCGGCCAGGAGGCACGCTCTCTGAGTACGCTCCGCTTTTCTGCTCCATTCCGGCCTTCGACAGACAGGACGAGGTCTGCCCACCTCAGGGAGTGCCCTCTGCTTTGCTCAGTCTACCCACTTAAATGTTCACCCGGCCCAGAAAGACACAGAATGAGGCCCCGTCAGGTGGGCACACACAATCAAAGGAACCATCGTAACTCCTGACACTGGGGTGTCAGTCACTGTTAACATCACTTGGGATTGCACATTCATGGGCTGTTACATGAGAATTGTTCATGCCAGTTCTATTAGCCTTTGCTAAAGCAGTTGCATTGGCATGCCACCTTATATCTTTCACAGATGTCTGCTGTCTCCACTCACTTCCCCCACTAAGAGGTGGAGTCTCACCCTAGCCGGTGTGGCTCAGTGGATAGAGCGTCGGCCTGTGGACTGAAGGGTCCCAGGTTCCATTCTGATCAACGGCAAGTACCTTGGTTGTGGGCACATCCCTAGTGGGGGCGTGCAGGAGGCAGCTGATCAATGATTCTCATCATTGATGTTTCTAACTCTCTATCCTCTCCCTTCCTCTCTGTAAAAAAAAAAAAAAAATCAATAAAGTATATATATATATTTTTTAAATAGAACTGAGTGTTTCTTTGTACCCGGCACCCAGCTTCCCCCAAGTGACATCTGAGGTCGCCGTGGAACTTCCTGGAGGCCGGGGGCAGATAGTCCTGCTATGTAACCAGTTTCAGACCTCAGTCAGAGGTCTTCAGCACTCAGAGCTCTAAGAAATGTTATTGACTGTGAGGATTTGAGTACCCACCACCACGATCTGTACATAGGCTAATTTATCCTGGGTGTATTAGTTCTCTATTGCTGTGTAACAAATTGCCCCCAAACTTAGTAGCTTAAAACAGTAAGTGCTTATTACCTCACACCATCTCTGAGAGTCAGAAATCCATGAGTGGCTTAGCTGGGTGGCTCTGGTTTAAGATCTCATGAGGTTGCAGTGAGGGTGTTGGTGTGGGCAGGTGTCATCTGAAGGCTGGACTGGGGCCGTAGCATGTGCTTCCAAAGTGGCTCACTCACACGGCTGGGGACTTGGTTCTGAGACACGTGCTTCTCCAGAGGATGACGGCTAACGTGTCTTCACAACACGGAGCTGTCTCCTCTGATGCTAATGATTTAAGAGAGAGCAAGGCCAAGCTGCAGTGACTTTTATCATCTAATCTTGGAAGTTATCCTCTGTCATTTTCACAGCGCCCTGTCAGTCACAATGGTCAGTCTTATGGGTGTGGAAGGGGTATGAAAACCTGGAAGTGAGACTCCCTGTGCTGGAGATGGACTAAACAGTTTCAATATAGCATCTTAGGTGTTATAAACCATTTTGACTTCAGAATTATCTAAAAAGTCTTCTCCCCTCCACTCACCAGCTGCGCTGTTTAGAGGCCCGTGGCTGCAATGAAACCTTTTCTTCCCTTTCTGTGACTGAGGTAGAGGGAGAACTGAGTTCAAATAACAGTCCCAGAAAAACCCAGCTTCAAAGTTAATAGGAAACCTCATTTCTCCCAAAGACATCTTTTCTTAACTCACAGAGAAACTTTCTGTAAAATCATCAAGGGTCTGGCCAGTGTGGCTCCGTGGCAATTCCTGGGCTCGATCCCCAGTACGGGCCTGCAGGAGGCAGCCGATCAATGATGTTGCTCTCTCGTTGATGTTTCCATCTCTTTACCCCTCTCCCTTCCTCTCTCTCTAAAAATCAATGAAAACATAAAAACAAAATAAAATCACGGAGTGTTGGAACTTCCATCAGTAAACATGGAACATCCCATTCTCGCTTGTTGGATCTAAGCCATTTGACACAGCGTAGCAGCCTTGATTTTTCAACCCAGGTGCAGAGCTGCCAAGGGATTCTGGACCCAGCCACCTTGTCGTTTCCAAGGATACCGGACCCTGGAGGGATGCAGGACCCTGGTCCTTCACAGTCCACACCTGATGTTGCCCCTACTTTGCTTGGAGCCCATCACGGAGTTGTCACCTAAATCCCACCCTTCCTGCAAACTCTGTAACTCTGCCTTCTGCTTGTTTGTCAACACGCTCCATGGCCTCTGCTGCACAGCTCCATTGCTGCAATGGCTCCAATAACCTTGACTTTGTCAGGTGATGTTCCTGGTGATGTTAGGCTGATGGACTGGAACACAGATAACCTCCTATTGCCGTGGCTCCCAGTCCCCTTCCGGACATAGATTCCTTCTCTTTTCTGCCCAAACCCTTCATCATCTGACCCCAGCCTATTTTTCAAATCTGAGTTCTTTCTTCTTATTATTTCTTTGTAAAGAAGATGTAATAACTTCCATATGGTAAAGTACATGTTTTATGTGTACGGTTCAGTGAATGTTTATTTTACCGTATTTCTTTTAAAAAAATATATCTTTTTATTGATTTCAGAGAGGAAGAGAGAGAGAAACATCAATGATGAGAATGGATGCCTCATGCACGCCCCCTAATGGGGATCGGGCCTACAGCTTGGACACGTGCCCTTGACGGGAATCGAACCCAGGACTCTTCAGTCCGCAGGCTAACACTCTATCCACTGAGCCAAGCCAGCTAGGGCGTGAATTTTTAAAAAATATGTGTATAGCAAGCAATCACCACCCAGATCCACACATGGCACATTTTGGGCACCTCGGGAGCCCCTTGGGGCCCCATGCTGTCTGTGCCCATCCGATCTATCACCAGAGATCAGTGTTGCCACTTTAGAAGTTAAGATTTCTTTTATTTTCACATAAACATTCATTGTCTTTAGTCATCCGAGACTTCCTACCTCCAATGAATGTTATTTCTGGCCTCTGCTGTTCCTCGCTGTTGTGCACTTTGCACTTGACGTTTCTTCTGCCCTGGAGGGTTCAAGCCACGCCCCGAACTCCTGAAAATATTGCAGTGATGAATGAACGAACGAATGAACGAATGAATGAATGAATGGCAGCTACACTGTGATTGAAGGGGCGGCGGGTGCAAGGGCGCCAGGACAAGTTCCTAAGGGCAGGGCCGATGGCACAGTCACGTGACGAGCGAGGCAGGTGCGGCGGCGGGAGCGCCGGCCCTGCGGGGCAGAGGACCACGGCGGCCGCCATTTTGCGGGGCGGTCACGTGGCCCGACGCACGCCCCGCGGCCGTCACGTGACCGGGGGCGTGCTGCAGCCGCCGGGGCAGACCCGGCGAGAGGCGCGGCGGGAGCGGCGGTGATGGACGGGTCCGGGGAGCAGCCCAGAGACGGGGGTGAGGCGGGAGGCAGGCGGGCGGGAGCAGGGCGAGCCCCTCGCCGGCCGGCCCCCCGGTCCCGCCTGCGGGTCCCGGGGCGTGCGATCTCCAGGCGCCCCGGGTCCCAAACTCCCGGATCGGGTGCTGCCAGCCTCCAGCCCCCTCCCTCCTCCGTCCCCAGGCTCCCTGGCTCTCTGGCCTTCCCGCCCGGCGCCCCGGGACCCCCGATACGCTAGGGACCCCAGGATTCAAGCCCCCGGACAAGCCCGGGCTTGTCGCCGGCACCACTTCCTGGTGGGAGGGGCGGGTCTCCCCTGGGTCCCCTCAGGCCGGGATGCTTTCAGGGTTCCCCGAGTCTCCGCTCCCGGAAGAATGTGGGATCCAGGCCCGGGCTCCCCGCCTGGACTTTCTCCATCAGGGGCGCAGTTGTCTGGGCCACCCATCACTTCATCTACCAGGGCCCCCGAGGTCCAGGGCCCCCCTCGCCTTGGCCCCCCTCAGGGACCATGAAGCACCCCAGTTCCCCCAGGACCCAGGAGTCCAGGCGCCTCTTCCCTCCTTTCTCCTCTAGGGCCCACCAGCTCTGAGCAGATCATGAAGACAGGGGCCCTTTTGCTAAAGGGGTGAGTGTGAGGTCTGATTACGGTGGAGCGGATGTGAAGGGTGACCCCCACCCCGTGCTGATGGTGCACCCTCCTCCATCCCCCTCCAGTTTCATCCAGGATCAAGCGGAGCACATGGGGGAAGAGACCTCGCGGCTGCCCCTGGGGCCCAGGGTGCCCCAGGACGCATCCACCAAGAAGCTCAGCGAGTGTCTCAAGCGCATAGGGGACGAGCTGGACAGTAACATGGAGCTGCAGAGGTGAGGCCCCCGGGCCCCAGGAGTCCCTGCCCCCAGCCCCCCTTCCCTGAGGGGCACCGAGTCCAGGTCCGCAGCCCCCATTTCCCGCCGACCCGGGATCCAGGGCCCCTCCACTCAACTCAGCTCGCTGGCTCCCGGCCCTCCCCTCCCGAAGGGTCTTTTTTTTTTTTTAAAGATTTTTATTGGTTTCCGAGAGGAAGGAAGAGGGAGAGAGACATATCAGTGATGAGACAGAATCATTGATGGGCTGCCCCCTGCATGTGCCTGGACGGGGAATGGAACCATGACCTCCAGGTTCAGATGCCAACGCTCAACCCCTGAGCTATGCCAGCTGGGCCCATAGGATGGAGATATATATATATTTAATATATTTTATTGATTATTTTACAGAGAGGAAGGGAGAGGGATAGAGAATTAGAAACATTAAAAAAAAAAAAAAGAGAGAGAGAGAGAGAGAGAATTAGAAACATCGATGAGAGAGAAACATCCATCAGCTGCCTCCTGCTCACCTCCTCCTGGGGATGTGCCCACAAGCAAGGTACATGCCGTTGACCAGAATCGAACCTGGGACCTTCCAGCCGCAGGCCGACGCTCTATCCGCTGAGCCACACCGGGGCGGGCCGGGCCCAGAGGATCTTGAAACCCTCTTTGAGGAGGCATTGTCCCCACTTTCCTAAATGCCCATCCCGTCCCTTTCCCCTGCGTTGGCCTCTTGCTTTTCATTTCAGTGGGGCTCGGGCCTCTGAATCTCTGGAGTGGGGTGGACACCACCGTTCCCATGCCCTGCCTGACCCCCCTCCGTCCCCGGCGCCCCCCTTCCCGCAGGATGATCGCGGCTGTGGACACAGACTCGCCCCGGGAGGTCTTTTTCCGAGTGGCGGCCGAGATGTTCTCTGACGGCAACTTCAACTGGGGCCGGGTGGTGGCCCTCTTCTACTTTGCCAGCAAACTGGTGCTCAAGGTGGGTGGCTCAGGGCGGGGAGCCCGGGAGGCTCCCCTCACACCTGGGGGGGCCTGGGAGGGGTGGCGCCCACCCCCTGGCAGCCCCGAGGGACCGCAAGGAGAAGGTTATGAGCCAGTCCTCTGCTCCTTCCTTCGTGCGTTCAACCGGCAGGTGTTTATCGGGCCTACTGTGTGCCATGTCGGACTCTGCATCCAGGACGCAGCCCCAAACAGCGGGCTGGGTCCCTGCTCTCCGGAGCGCGCTTCGAGCGACGCATGCTGGGAGGAGTGAGCTGGGGGGATGTGGTTTTGGGCAAATTGATCGGGAAAGACTCCTCCGAGGAGGTGACAGGAAAGCCAGCGTCGGAAGGACGAGAAAGATGCAGTGATGTGTAAGGATTGGGGGAAAGGCATCTGGAGCGGGCACAGCACATGCAAAGGCCCTGGGGTAAGGGCAGACCTTGTGGGTTGAGGAGGCCCTTGTGGTTAGAACAGAGTGAGGAGGGCGAAAGGGGAGGAGATGAAGGCTGATTTCTTTTCTTTATAAATGCCCACACTCCATACATATTTACCATGGAGTCTTGTTTTTGTTTTTTTAATTTATCGATTTTTTTTTTTGAGAGGAAGGGAGAGGGATAGAGAGCTAGAAACATCGATGAGAGAGAAACATCGACCAGCCGCCTCCTGCACACCCCCCACTGGGGATATGCCCGCAACCAATGTACATGCCCTTGACCGGAATCGAACCTGGGACCTTCCAGTCCGCAGGCCGACGCTCTATCCACTGAGCCACACCGGTCTCGGCAGAAGGCTGATTTTTGAGGGTCCTATGGGCTACTCAAGACTTCAACTTCACTCAGAGTGAGATAGAGTGATTAGCTGGTTTTGTTTTATTATTGTTGTTTTAAATATGTTTTCGTTGATTTTAGAGAAAAAAGAAGGGAGAAAGAGAGAGTGAGAGAGAAACATCGATTGGCTGCCTCCTGCTCGCACCCGAGGGCGGAGAGCCCGCAACCTGGGCATGTGCCCTGACGGGGATGGAACCCGCGACCTTTCAGTGCACAGAGGACGCTCACACAACTGAGGCCCCCCGCCAGGGCGACTGGCTGATTGTAAACAGGACAGTGAGGTGACCTGATTCATACACTTAAGATATTATTCTAGCAAGTGTAGCAAAATGTTAATTGTAGGACCTACGTTGCAGGTGTATGGTTGTTGACTGTGAAATTCCTTTAACTTTTCTCTGAAGATTCTCATGATAAAATATTGGGGGAGGCCCTGGCCGGTGTGGTTCAGTGGATAGAGCATCAGCGTGCGGACTGACGTGTCCTGGGTTCGATTCCGGGTTGCAGGCTCCATCTTGTGTTGGGCATGTGCAGGAGGCAGCTGATCAATGATTCTCTCATCGTTGATGTTTCTATCTCAATCTCCTTCTCCTTTCCCCTCTGAAATCAATTTTAAAAAACTATATATATATATATTGGGGGAAGGGAAGCCCAACAAATTGTTCTGGCCTTTGTGAGTAGAAAAAGGGATTATGGGACAGAAGGGCAAAAGCTGAGGAGCTGGGGAGGGGCCACGTATAATAATTAGTCCCTGCAAACAATGATTGACTTGGACAGTAGTACTGGAGGTGTGGAAATATATATATGTGTTTTTTTTTAGATTATTGATTTCAGAAAGGGAGAGGGAGAGAGAGAAACATGAATGATGAGAGAATCATTGATGGGCTGCCTCCTGCACACCCCCCACTGGGGATTGAGCCCGCAACCCAGGCCTGTGCCCTGGATTCGGATCAGACCTGGGACCCTTCCGTCTGCAGGCCGACACTCTCCATTGAGCCAAACTGGCCCGAGCTGGAAATAGATGTTTTTAAAAAAATAGTTTTATTGATTTTAGAGAAGAAGGGAGAGGGACAGAGAGATAGAAACATCAATAATGAGAGAGAATCGCTGATTGGCTGCCTCCTGCACGCCCCACCCTGGGGATTGAGCCTCCAACCCAGGCCTGGGCCCTGACCGGGAATCGAACCGGGACCTCCTGGTTCATAGGTTGATGCTCATCCACTGAGCCACGCCCGCCGGGCGAAGTAGACTTGTGTTTGTGTTTGGGATGGTGGGCTAATGGGGTTGCGTGTTGGGGTGAGGGGGACAGCAGTGATGGTGATGGGGGAGGGGGCGGGGGCACGGAGGGGGGAGGGGGTGGAGAAGCAGCGGACAGAGGGAAGGGGGCATTCTGGGAAGTGGAGGGTGTGGAGTCACCTGGTCTGAAGGTCAGAGGCGCCCTCTCTGGGGAGGTGGCCTCAGACCTGAGCTTGGGGGGATGGGTGAACGTTGGTTTGGTGGCCTCAGACCTGAGCCTGGGGGGATGCGTGGACGTTGGTTTGGTGGAGGCCCGTTTAGGCCTAGTACCGGCATGTGGGAGGGTCCTCCGGGCAGGAAGCTCTGGTGGGAGTGAGGACAGGAGGGCACTGGGCGCACAAGAGGAGCCACAGGTCGGATTGCTGTTGCGTCAGAGCCTTCGCACGGCCCCGTGGGCGAGCTGTGCCTTCCGCTCCCTCCTACGGGCACGGGAGCCACGGAGGTGCGGCAGGGCTGCCGGCGGAGGCACGGTCCAGGCGGCAGTGTCTGAGGCTCACGGACCCAGGGGGAAGGAGGCTGGGGCTGCCGGCGGAGGCACGGTCAGGCGGCAGAGTCTGAGGCTCCCTGGGACCCAGGGGGAAGGAGGCTGGGGCTGCCGGCGGAGGTGCGGCAGGGCTGCCGGCGGAGGCACGGTCAGGCGGCAGTGTCTGAGGCTCACGGACCCAGGGGGAAGGAGGCTGGGGCTGCCGGCGGAGGCAGAGCAGGGACGGGGGCTGGAGGCCACTCCGGAGGCGCCGGGGACAAGCCCGCTCCTGAGGCCCGCCCCCCGCAGGCCCTGTGCACCAAAGTGCCCGAGCTGATCAAGACCATCGTGGGCTGGACCATGGACTTCCTTCGAGAGCGGCTGCTGGGCTGGATCCAGGACCAGGGCGGCTGGGTGAGGCCCCGACCCCCCTTCGCCCTGGACCCCCGCCCCCAGCCCACCACGGTGGTGCCCCCGCCCCCTGCATGTTCACCTCACCAGATGTGGTCTGTGGTGCATTTTGTCACATATCTGATCAACCCTGGGCTCCTTGGGGACCTGCTGACCCTTTGATCCGATGACCTCTGACCTCCCGGTGACCCCTGGCCTGGCTACTACTTTCTGCCCTCCCTGGTGCCTCCCCTTCTGGAATCCTCCAGTTCTGTGATAGCCCTTTGGCCCCAGCTCCTGAAGACCTGTTAGGCTTAGGCCCTTGCCCGCCTCCTGCCCTCTGCCCTCGTCCTGCCCCGCCCTGCCGAGGCTGCCTGGCAGACGTGCCCCTGTCCCCGCCCCCAGGACGGCCTCCTCTCCTACTTCGGGACCCCCACGTGGCAGACGGTGACCATCTTCGTGGCCGGCGTGCTCACCGCCTCCCTCACCATCTGGAAGACGATGGGCTGAGCCCGGCCGCCCTGGACTGTGACTTTTCCGAATAAATTATGGCATTTTTCTGGGGGAGGGTGGGGATTGGGGTCAGGGGCCTTTTTCTTACTTTTGTAATTATTGGGGGTTGGGTGGGGGGAGTGGTTTCGGGGGGGCAATAAACCTCTTTCGGGCCACACTCCTGCCTCTGAGTCACTGGGCCCCTCCCTGGCTGTCCCCAGAGGCCCGGCTCCCGCTGACACGGGGACTGACACACTCTGAGGAGCCAGTGCCCCCTGGGGGTCAGTGAAGGCACAGGTCCTGGCCCTGCCCTCCAGGAGCCTGCAGTCTTGAGGGGCATGGAGGCTGCTTAATGATCACTTGTGCCACGGCGTAGGGTGTTGCCCCAGGCAGGAGCCCGGGGCCGAAGTGGGGTGCGGAGGGTACAGAGCAGGCCTCCACTCTGGCAAGTTCCACACTGACTGAGGTGGAGCCTGGGGGAGGGGAAGGGGGTGCTGATCGGAACTTGGGGAGCAGAGGAAGCTACTGGAGGTAGGAGAGCTGATGGGGGGTTAGGATAGGAGGGCACAGGGAGCAGACCAGGCCCAGACCATGGGGCCACAGCTGGAGACGGGCTCTGGAGTGCGGCCTGGTAACGGGGGGGCCTCCCGAGGGGAGCAGGCCCCAGGGAAGGCCTAGCCCAGTGGCCGGCAAACTCAATCCACAGAGCCAGATAGCAACAGGACGGCGATGGAAATTTCTTTGGAGAGCTGCATTTTTTTACACAGAAACTTCTAACGCCACTTCTTCAACATAGTCTCGCCAAGGCCGTGGTGTTTTGTGGAAGAGCCACACTCAAGGGGCCAAAGAGCCGCATGTGGCTCTCCAGCCCCCGTTTGCCGACCACGGGCCTAGTCCATGTAGACACCAAGAGAACGTGGATCAGAGAGAGGGCGGTCACTCAGTCCAGGGTCTTGTCTGTCCCTTCTTTCTCTCTGCCCGTCTCTCCGGGTCTCTTGTAGCTGTGTCTCCCTCCCTATCCCAGGATCTCCACACCCCCAGATGTCTGTCGGTCCGTCCTCCCGATCCTCTGGTCTCACCCCTTCCTCTGCTGCCTGTGAGCACTCAGGCTAAAGGTCTGCGGGCCGCGCCTGCAGCCTGGTGAATGTGTAACCCAGGCCGCGCCAAGGTGGCCGCAGCAGGCAGCGTGCCTGGCGCTACTCCCCTCCCCTCCGGGCTGTTCCCGGAGCTTCCCAGTCCGGGGAGATCCGCCTGGCAGACAAGATAGCAGGAGGGGAGACTGAGGCCTCCGCAGCGGCACGAAGGGAGGGGACGAAAAAGGCATTGGAGTAACGAAGCGCCCAGCAGGCTGCACTCTGGGGGAGGGGGCCAGGCTTGGGTCCGAGCCAGCCGGCCTCGTTCCCAGGGTCCCCGCGGCGGGGCGGCCGCCGGGAGATGAGGTCAGCGGGCCCCCGCCCTCCCCTCCCGCGCCCCTTCCTGCGCTGAGCTCAGCGTGACTCAGCACCGCCGCTCCGGCCGCGGCGGCACCCCGGCGGGCCCCCGGGCCCCGGCGGCCCCTCCCCGGCCAGGGCGCCCTGCCCGCCCCGACGTGGGGGTAGCGGGCGTGGCCGCCGCCCCGAGGGCACGGGCACGGGGTCCAGGCCTGCCCTTTCCCCCACAACAGGGCTCTCCCTGGAGGCCCGTCCCGGTGTGCGGCCGCCCCGCCCCCCAGACCCCCGCCCGGCCCGGCACTCTGGTCGGGGACGGACATCCCACCCCAGGCCCCCCGGATCCGGGCTCCGCTTTGGGACTGGGGAGGCGCACGTGGCAGGCGAGGCAGGGGCGTCCTCAGGGCCAGAGGGCACCCCGGCGGGTCCTCCTCCGGGGGACCCCGCCCCATCTCAGCTCCCCAAAACAGTGGACCTCTGACAGAGGCCCGAGGCTCCAGGGCTCCCTGGCTCAGTCTCAAGGGCTCTCCAAGACCCCTTCAAAACAAAACAAAAAGCAACCCTACGCACTAGGCTTCCACAAGCACCCCTCTCCCCGACCCACGACGCACACCAACGCTCTAGAACCCCTGCTCTTTGACGCTTGCAGCTCGCCTCAAGGGCCTAACGACCCCAGGACGTTTCCAGAAAAACAGGTCTTCCATTGTGAACATTAAGGCAAAAAATTAAAAAAAAAAATTTCTTTAAAGTAATCCCACCTTCGAGCGAACCCCAGGGCTTCCCTCCAACCCATCTTCCAGAGAGATCCCCAAGGTTCCAGAAACACCATCTCACCGCCTTCCAAACGTCCCAGCGATCTGGGGAACCCTCAGCTCCCAAAGCAAGACCCCAAGTCATTCGGGGGCCTCTGCACCCCCAGGCTTCCAGAAAAGCCCGCGCTCCCAGCGAACCCCAGAATTCAACCTACTTTCCTGAGGCACCCCCAGGACCACAGGACCACGCTTCAGGGTTCCCCGAATCTCCTGAGACCCCAGGACCCCTACCAGAGACCCCAGAATCCCGTGACTACCCCGAATCAGCCCCAGACCCCGCATTCCCCCCTTCCCAGCCCCGCCCTCCCAGTGCCCATTTCACAACAGCCTCCAGCAACAGGCGCGTGACTGACTGCCCCAGGCGGCGTCTGGGACTCCTCTCTGCTCCGGATTGGCCACTCCGGGCTCCAGGCCCCGCCCACCGCCACCGCGGATTGGCCCATAGCTCGCCCCTGGAAGCCCCCCTCCGGGGCCCCCGGGCCTATAAAAGGAGCTGCGCGGCCGGGCCTCTCGCAGCAGCGCCCGGAGGTCCCGGATCTGTCTCTTGCTTCAACAGTGTTTGGACGGAACAGACCCAGGGACGCCGTTCTTCCAGCCTCCGGCCACTCTCCTGCGTCTCATCCAGTCACCACCGTCAGCGCCACCTCCGGGACCAGCCGACACACCGGTTTTTTGGTGGTTTTGGTTTTTTTTTTCTACCTGAAAGCCTCATTACTGAACAACCATGAGCTCCCAAATTCGTCAGAATTATTCCGCCGACGTGGAGGCTTCGGTCAACCGCCTCATCAACCTGTACCTGAAGGCCTCCTACAACTACCTCGGGCTGGTAAGGGTCCCGGGACACGCCTGGCCCTGGTTCCCCCCCCAAACTGCGCACTCCTGGCGCTCCGCCCGCCCGCGGGGGCCTCTTTGTTCTGCTGGGCGGAGGGCGGAGTCTGCAGCCGGGCCCGGCCTCGCCTCCCGCTAACCAACCACCGTTCCCGCCATCTCTCCCCGCAGGGCTACTATTTCGACCGCGACGATGTGGCCCTGGAGGGCGTGGGCCACTTCTTCCGCGAGTTGGCGGAGAAGAAGCGGGAGGGCGCGGAGCGTTTGCTCAAGTTGCAGAACCAGCGAGGCGGCCGCGTTCTCTACCAGGACGTGCAGGTAAAACAGTGTGCGGGCCTGTAGACTACATCTCCCAGCAGTCCTTGCGCGTGGCGTGCCTTCGCCCCCCACCGTTAGGGGCTGTGTGGGCTCCTGGGATGTGTAGTTGTGGGTGGGGGTGGGGTGATAGACGTCTCTTAGGCTAGGCCCTATACCACTTCGTGTCGCGCCGCCCCCCCCCCCCCCACCTCGCCAAATGTTGAGGGATATAACTTTTAGTCCGTTGCGGAGTTATGGGGCCAATTCTGAGCCTCTGAGCCTTTTGTCTTGTGTAGAAACCGCCCCAGGATGACTGGTCCAAAACTCTGGACGCCATGGAATCCGCCCTGGCCTTGGAGAAGAGCCTGAACCAGGCCCTTCTGGAGCTGCACGCTCTGGCTTCCTCCCGCGCAGACCCTCACGTAAGCACCCCCTTTATCCGGATCTGCCCTTTCCCAGGCCTTCCCTGCAATGGAGCTTCTGTCCCAAGCCTCGGCCTCCTCCTCGCTTGGGCAAATTTCCCTGTGAATGTTGTTCTCCGACTGTCCACTGTTCTATCAACAAGTGGCAACATTGTCTCTCCTCCTCCTACCACTTAGGTCTGCGACTTCCTGGAGAACCACTTCCTGGACGAGGAGGTGAAACTGATCAAGAAGATGGGCGACCACCTGACCAACATCCGCAGGCTGGCCGGCCCCCAGGCCGGGCTGGGCGAGTACCTCTTCGAAAGGCTCACCCTCAAGCACGACGACTAGGAGCCTTTGGTGCCCAGAAGCCTTTCAGCGGCCCCCGCCCCCTCTGTCTCTGGCTTTCGCCTGAGCCTCTTCCCGAAACTACTAGCCATTCCTTTATCCACCCCGGAGCCCTCTCCCCGGCACGGGACCAAATGAAACAATAAAGCTTTTTGCAGCAGTTGGTGGTGTGTGTGTGCGTGCTGTGGGGAAGGAGGCGGGTCTGTTTTCGCCCAGCTAACGGTGCTGGGCTGGCGGGGGAGGGAGGACCGGTTCTCACCTGCCACCTGTAGGTGTTGCTGTAGCGGTTCTCCGCTCGGTCAGACTCATCGCCCCACCTCCAGGGTGGAGCCCAGACTCCAGGGAGGGGCTGGTGGTGGGAACGGACTCTCAGGAATGTCAGAAACCATCACCTTTGAGTAGCCAAGTGCTGGCTCTATGGGGGGGGGGGGGGGGGGGGGGCTAGAATTGCCAGCCCTTTATACGGGTGAATGGAGGGTATTAGTATGTAACTAGCCCATGGCAACCGAGAGGCACACCCAGACCTGACCTGCTGGAGGCTGCTGATGATGGGAGACAGGTGAGTCAGGGCTGGGGCACATGATAAGCACGAGCTGCTGGTTCAGGAATGGGGGTCATGGGGGTCGGCACAGAAACTGGGAAGTGAGACGGGCCCAAGTCATCAAAACAGGAACTGAAGAAGCTGAGTCCCAGTTGCACAGTGACCCCTGCCCTTCCCTGTTTTGGGTTAGAAGGAACCTAAGAGGAAGTGGCTGCTGGACACCTGCTTTTTTGTCCACTCAGCACCCCGTTCCTGCTTTGTCACCCCACTTTGACCATGACTGGCGATCCTGGTGGAGGAGGGAGGGAGGGAGGGAGGGGCTTGTGTGTGTCACAGACACCACGGCTAACAGAAGGATGAGCGCACATCCAAACATTGTAGCTACTGACTCCCCTGGAGAGCAGCAGGTGCCAGGTGTACTGTGACCCGGGGAAGACGGCCGCCGAAAGAACAAATATTTTTCCTGAAAATAGAACTCTGCGGGGGACAGCCGGGTCCAAGGCCAAAGGCCACAGCGCCCTGGCCACGTGCCCTCGGCAAGCACTGTCCGCCGTGACGAGGAGAAATTCTAAAGCTGCACCCACCGCCCAACAGGGTCGCCCCAGGAGCCACACGTGGCCGCCTGTGGCTGCGGAGCACTTACTGCTGGTGCTGAGGGATTTCAAGAGCCACACACGGCTCCTGGCTTCCACGTGGACCCATTTCCAGCGACAAAGCCCCTTTCTGTCAGAGAGAGCTTGACCCAGCTGAAACCGGTGTGGCTCAGTGGATAGAGCATCGGCCTGCGGACTGAAAGGTCCCGGGTTCGATTCCGGTCAAGGGCATGTATCTCGGTTGTGGGCACATCCCCAGTAGGGGGTGTGCAAGAGGCAGCTGGTCCATGATTCTCTCTCATCAATGTTTCTAACTCGCTATCCCTCTCTCTTCCTCTCTGTAAAAAATCAATAAAAATATTAAGAGAGAGAGAGAGAGAGAGAGAGAGAGCGAGAGCTTGACCCCAGGATTTTGCTACTGGCAAGTTAGGTCCCAACTGAACAAGGCAGAGAGTGCCTTCTCTTGAAAGAACACTGGAACCCACAACAGTAATCCAAGTCTCTGTGAGAGCAGAATGACAAGGAACTGGGGACCTGGGGTTGGGTCGGGGAGAAGGGGGGATGGAGGAGGGAGGGAAGAGAGAGAGGGTAGAGGCCAGGCAAGAGGCCCATCAAATCCTGTGTCGGACCAGGCCTGGGGTTCTTAAATATACTTGTATTTTTTTTTTTCATCGCCACACACACTTCAGTCATCCCCTTCTGCCCCCACTCCCGAGGGCAAGCAGGTGCATCGGGCACAGCGCAGCACAGGCGAGGGGCCCCTCACCGAAGCTGGGGGCCGGGCGCAGCCTGGGGACAGGAGAGCCTTGAGGTAAACAAAAACGGAACAAGGGAAGTTCTAGAAGCCCAGCGGGCTCGGTTCCAGGCCGGGCGCAGCACAGTGGTGAGGGTCTAGGCTCAGCAGCCGGGACCTAGAACCCAGTGGTTTCACGTGGGCCTGGCGGTGGGGGTTGTAAGACAGCCAGTTCTGCCCTCAGCTGGGGGGAGAGGGGGCCTCCCTGGCGGGCCCAGAGTCTTGAAATACTGGGGGGAGGGGGTGGCGGAGAGAACCCAGACTCAGACAAGGAGCAGGGTCTGGTCTAGAAAAGGCCAGCAAGGCATCCAGACCAACACTGCACGCTCTCCAGCAGCAACAGGAGCCAAGTGGGTCTGCTCCCCCCCCTCCCCCTTTGCTCGGCTGAAGTGTAGAGGAAGAGGGGGGGAGGGTCCCTCCAGGCAGAACCCCGCCCCACAGGGAGGGCCGGAGCCGAGGAGACGCGTGGTGTCCTGTCTGGAGCCCGCGTTCTGGAGCTGAAATGGAAGACCTTCTGCGTTGGGTGAACTGTCCTTGGAAGGGCTCCGCCTCGGCGGGCCTGGCCCTGTGGCTGGGCACTGCGGGACCCCAGGCGCGCTCTGCGGGGCCGCAGGGTTTGCAGGCCACGGAGTGATCTGGGAGCCGCGGCCCGGAAGGCGAGAGGCCAGGTTCCCTAAAAGCCCTGGCGCCGCGGGCATGGGAGGTTCCTGGAACCCTGTGGCCCGGCCGGACCGCGAGCGGCGAGGGCACAGATTTCACATTGCGGAACCGGGAAAGGCACGGCGTTGTAGATTCTGGAGTGTGGGGAGGGGGTCCAGGGCAGAGCTGGGGGGCTGGAGTGTGGGGAGGGGGTCCAGGGCAGAGCTGGGGGGAGGAGTGTGGGGAGGGGGTCCAGGGCAGAGCTGGGGGGCTGGAGTGTGGGGAGGGGGGTCCAGGGCAGAGCTGGGGGGAGGAGTGTGGGGAGGGGGGTCCAGGGCAGAGCTGGGGGGAGGAGTGTGGGGAGGGGGGTCCAGGGCAGAGCTGGGGGGAGGAGTGAGGGGAGGGGGGTCCAGGGCAGAGCTGGGGCGGCTGGAGTGTGGGGAGGGGGTCCAGGGCAGAGCTGGGGGGGAGGAGTGTGTGGGAGGGGGGTCCAGGGCAGAGCTGGGGGGAGGAGTGTGGGGAGGGGGTCCAGGGCAGAGCTGGGGCGGCTGGAGTGTGGGGAGGGGGTCCAGGGCAGAGCTGGGGGAGCTGGAGTGTGGGGAGGGGGGCCAGGGCAGAGCTGGGGAGCTGGAGTGTGGGGAGGGGGGGGTCCAGGGCAGAGCTGGGGGAGCTGGAGTGTGGGGAGGGGGGTTGAGGGCAGAGCTGGGGGGCTGGAGTGTGGGGAGGGGGGTCCAGGGCAGAGCTGGGGGCACTGGAGTGTGGGGAGGGGGGTCCAGGGCAGAGCTGGGGGAGCTGGAGTGTGGGGAGGGGGGTCCAGGGCAGAGCTGGGGGAGCTGGAGTGTGGGGAGGGGGTCCAGGGCAGAGCTGGGGGGCTGCAGTGTGGGGAGGGGGGTTGAGGGCAGAGCTGGGGGGGAGGAGCGTGGGGAGGGGGTCCAGGGCAGAGCTGGGGGGGAGGAGTGTGGGGAGGGGGGGTCCAGGGCAGAGCTGGGGGGAAGGAGTGTGGGGAGGGGGGTCCAGGGCAGAGCTGGGGGGGAGGAGTGTGGGGAGGGGGGTCCAGGGCAGAGCTGGGGCGGCTGGAGTGTGGGGAGGGGGGTCCAGGGCAGAGCTGGGAGGGAGGAGTGTGGGGAGGGGGTCCAGGGCAGAGCTGGGGGAGCTGGAGTGTGGGGAGGGGGTCCAGGGCAGAGCTGGGGGAGCTGGAGTGTGGGGAGGGGGTCCAGGGCAGAGCTGGGGGGCTGGAGTGTGGGGAGGGGGTCCAGGGCAGAGCTGGGGGAGCTGGAGTGTGGGGAGGGGGTCCAGGGCAGAGCTGGGGGGCTGGAGGGTGGGGAGGGGGTCCAGGGCAGAGCGGGGGGGCTGGAGTGTGGGGAGGGGGGTCCAGGGCAGAGCTGGGGGGAGGAGTGTGGGCAGGGGGGTCCAGGGCAGAGCTGGGGGGCTGGAGTGTGGGGAGGGGGTCCAGGGCAGAGCTGGGGGGCTGGAGTGTGGGGAGGGGGTCCAGGGCAGAGCTGGGGGGAGGGGTGTGGGCAGGGGGGTCCAGGGCAGACCTTGGGGGGAGGAGTGTTGGGGAGGGGGGTCCAGGGCAGAGCTGGGGGGCTGGAGTGGACGGTGGAGGGGGGCAGGGGTCTGGAGTGGGTTTGGGAGCAGCGCCCGCCGCGCCCTGGGGACGGGGCGGGCGCAGGCGGGCGCTGGGCGGGCAGGGCTCAGGGGCGCTCCTCGCCCAGGGAGCTGGCGGGGCTGAGCGGCTCGCTGGGGCTGCTGGCCGAGCTGGACGGCGCCGTGTCCACCGAGTTGCGCTTGCCGGAGGCACAGTTGGCGCGGCGCGGCCACTCGGGCGCGCGGATGTTGCGCCGGTCCTTGGCGGCCTCCTTCTCCTCGTCGTAGCGCTCGCCGTCGCCCTCCTCGTTGGGCAGCTGGTCCTGCGGGTCCTCCTCGTCCTCGCTCAGGTGCGGGCTCGAGTGCCGGGACAGCGCGGGGGACGGCGGCACGGAGGCGGGCCGCGGGTAGCGGTAGCCCTGGGTCTGCGCGGGGCGTGAGCCAAAGGGCGGTGAGGGGGGCGCCTGTGCGCCGGGCCCCCGACCCCCCCCCAGCCCCCCCCCCCAGCCCCTGGGGACCCCGGCCCACTCGAGGGGCCCCGCCAACTCACCGTGTCCGCCTCGTGGGGCTCGTAGGTGAAGTGCTCCGGGAAGGCCTTGGCCAGCGCCATGTGGCGCGCAGACATGTAGTACTTCCGGGAAAGAAGGAGGGGGCATCAGGGGGCAGAAGCCCCGGGCAGGTGTGGGAGAGGGTGACCCCCCCCCCCCAGCCCACCTTTTATGCAGGTGAGCGCACTGCAGCCTCCACTGGACCGCTAAGCCAGCCACTTGTAACAGGTGTGCAGTTTTTAAAACATGCAATGCCGGCCCTGGCCGGTTTGGCTCAGTGGATAGAGCGTCGGCCTGCCGACTGAGGGGTCCCAGGTTCCATTCCGGTTCAAGGGCACATGCTGGGTGAGCCACTCGATCCCCAGGAGTGGGTGTGCAGGAGGCAGCCGGTCAATGATTCTCTCTCCCTCTCCCTCCCACTCTGAATCAATAAAAAATATAGTTAAGCCCTAACTGGTTTGG